TGGAGACATGACCCAGCTGCTCAGATGTCTGGGAGGGTGGAGCACTTCTTTTAAGGACCCAAAAGAGGGGAGGTGTCCATATTGGGGGAGGAACGGGAGAAGGCATGGAAGATGAATGGCCAAAGAACATGTTGTCCATCATCTCCAGTGGGAACCGGGTGGAGCATCGTCTTCCCCAAATTTGTTCGGGAGTCAGACCTGAACTTCCTGCGGCAAATGTGGCTGCTGGACACGTGTCCTTCATCCTCTTGATTGACCAGGAGACCCGAAGAGAGTCAGTGAAGAGAAGCATCTGGAGTGGAGTTGAAGGATGCCAAGAGATGGGAAGGACCCAGCGGGAGCCTCATTTCCACCCAGAAGGACCCCCTCCCTGGACCCAGCGTGAAAAGCTTTGTGGGAGACCTTGAATTCTGACCCACCCTTGGAGTATCCTCCTTCTCCAGAATGATTGGACCACCTCCCCTTCTTCCCTTTTTTCATCAGGTTGTGGCACTCAGCTGGTTAGGTTCAGCTTCATTAGTAACTGTGACACACCCACACCCACAAAACAAAGCTTGTTTTCTTAAAAAATAAGATGAGATTTAATAAGATCTCAGGTTGAAACAAATATCTCTCTATCTACTGTATCTCTCTCTCTCTCTTTCATACACATACGGACTGTGAATCCATGTTTTATCCCTGGAAGGTCGTATAGAACAGTGGGCATGAGTTCCGTGGAGCAGTTCCGTGGAGGCTGGTTTTCCCATGGATGGGGTGTGTGTGTAGCTTAATACACTTCCTGGGTCCTACGTGTACACAGATGAAGCTCTGCTGAGTTGCGTAGCCCAGTTTCTGGTGGGCCATGGCCAACTGCCTGTCCACAGCCCGTGAGTTGGGGACTCCTGGTGTAGAGGATTATAGAAACAGCCTTGCAGAAAAATTGTGGCAGTTGTTAAGAAAACATGGATTCATCCCAGGAAAACAGGTAAGGGTGAGAAAGAACCTCAAGGCTGCCCTGCCTTGATGCTCTTTGGTGCCAAAGGGAGCGAAGGGATTATTGCTTTCAAGATTCTGCTACTTCCTGGGGGCGTGGCCTGTTGCCGAGGAGGGCTCCACCGAGCTCCTC